TATCCCCTTTCACCCTGACCAGTCTTAAGTTTCGTTTCTTGTTTGTGACGTGGGCATAAATTATATACAGCTCTCCGCCAGGATTTTGTTTCAGGAGTTTCTGGCAAGGATTTCTTTTAACCCTTAGCTGACTACTGTGTGCGAAGTGAGGATGGTCTGAATGGTATCTCTTGCTAGTGGCATGGGCACTGATTAACTGGGTTGTGACACTAACCAGCATCCCTACCCAAGCAATCCTATAAATATCAATTTTCTAACCTTGGAGTAAAACTAGTGTCAACCTTGATGTAATGAATGAAAAAACGCGCTATCCAACCACATGTGAAGCAGGGAGATCATGGCAGTCAATGTCCTAATTCTGTAAAAGATTGTGAATACACACTCAAGATATGCCAGGTAAATGGTCACACTGTGGGTATAGAGAACGGCAATCCCCAGTCCACCCCCTAACCCCACGAGGCCAATACGACCATAGAGTAAAATTCCCCCCTGACCTTCAATTTGGCAATTGGTTTGACACCGAGTGGATGAGCACAAGGTTCTCTACATGGGATCCTACTGGGTTATGTCCCAGCAGGAGCAGTGGCACACCCCTGTAAAAATCCCCCGCCTTGGGGAGAAACCCAGTGTCTCTGAGGAAGCTTTAAAGACCCTGACACATTGCAGAAAAGAGGGGACTGTGTGTGTGTGCTAGGGGTGGGATTCCCTCCCAGTCCCATGCAGCAATCAGCAGAACCCAGAAGCAGGGAAATATCCATAGTAGGGCATCTGCATGGCTACACCTAGATTTTCCCCTACCAGCAGCTGTTCAACCTCTTCTTGAACACCCCTGTGATGGAGACTCCATAGCTTTCCTAGGCAGTCTATTCCACTGTCTCATACCACTGTAGAAGTGTTTCCTGATATCCCGTCTACTTTGCTGCAACTTTAAGCAACTGAATCATGTCCTAGTCTCAGCAGCAAAAGAGAAAAGGGTTTCTCTCTTCTTTATGGTAGCTCTTCAAGTACTTGAAGACTGTTATTATGTGCCTGCTAAAATGCCCTTTCCACACACTGAATGTGCCTTGCTCTTTCTGCCTCTCCTCTATGACTTGTTTTCCAAATCCTTTATCATCTTTGGTGCCTACCTCTGGACCCTCTCTAAGTTCTCCACATCCTTTTTGAAATATACAGCCCAAACATACACACAGTACTCTAGATGATACCTAACCAGGACCAAGTTGACAGGCACTAACATGTCCCACGCCTTGTGCCTAATGCTTCCATTGATGCATCCCGAAGCTTCATTACCTGTTTGTACAGCTGCATCACACAGCAGACCCATACTGAGAATCTGATCCACCTAGATTCCAATTCCTTCTCCATGGTACTGCCATCCAGTCAGGTGTAACCCATTTTGTATTTGTGATCATTATTCTCAAGGTATAGCACTTTGCATTTCTTGGCATTGAGTTTTTTTTCTGTTGACTCCCTCCCAGGTTTCCAATCTCTTGAGATCTTTCTGTTATTAAAACAGGAAATTCTGCCCCCTTCACTTCTTACAACTAACGATTAAAATCAGTAAATCAGAAAAAGCAATTAAATTAGAGACAAGGATACTTCTATGAGTACAGTTTGTATCCTATTCTGTTGTTCCTCTTGTTCCTTAAATGAACAAAGCAATTGCACATTGACATGAAAACTCTCTTGTAACTAGGTTTGCCTCCTGAGGTGACTGTGATGCCCCCTGGTGGTCACACAACCCTTACCTGGCTCCCCTTCTTACTCACTTGCCACACCTTGATGCAATTGTTTGATTGGAAGGGAGGCTGCCTAATGGGTCCTAGTATGAACGCCCAATACCTCTAGATGGCAGCTAGCTCTTCAAAGCTTCTGATGTTTTACACCTTGATCTCAGTAGATGGGCCCTGATGGCCCATCAATGCCCTTTCCCAAGGTACCTGTTAGCCTTAAGGGCTAATCACAGCCTCTGACCTCCCCTACAGTCATGCCCATTCCTTGCAGGTGTTATCACTTAAGAATTTGGGTGGGCACTTGGCACCAATCTGATATCAGGCCACCTCAGGCCTTTACCCTTGTTAGTGTCTTGTTCCTCTCAGCCTCCATCCTACTCCTATTATTCGTCCCCTCAGCCTAGGCCCACTGTTCAGGGCCTGACTGCTGGGTAACAGCCTGTCTCATTGTTTCAGGTTGCATCCTGCCTGGGCTCAGAGCACTGGCCCTGAACTTACCCCTTTAGGGCTGTCTCCAACCAGCGTTGAGGAATAAGCCTTCTTTAGCTCTTTTTGGACTCCTGGCCTCTGTGTCCATCACTCAGGGGCCGTGGTTCCTTTCTTTGTCCCTCTTGTACATAGGATCCCCTGACCCTGGATCAGCTCTCACTGGGCAGTAGCCCACTGGCCCTTGTTTAGCTCCTGTCCAAAACAGACTTCAGCATTTCTCTCTTTCTCTAGGCTTCAACATTTCCCTAGGGTGCAAGCCAATAGTAGGACCTGAGTGAAGGACCCTAACAGGGCTTTTCT